ACGAACAAGAGTAACATTTGATTCAGTGGTAGGACGGTGGAACTGTCAATGCCAAGGAAACAGAAGATCACACCGTTGTATCCATCGTATGATGGGAATGTGGTGGCTTTTTCAGGAGTCCCCAGGCACCATAGTTGCCACCTCAGACACTCAAGTAGAGGACATTGATGACTTGGAGAGTCATTTGTTTGAGAGCAGAGTCATGTGTGAGCCACACAATGTGAATGGTTCCAAAATCTGTCTTATGACATAATACCTTTTAAAAGAAAAACAAATTCCATGCCTGCAGGAAATACCTTTGAGGCTGAGGACTCAGGAGGAACAACCACCACCATGTTTTGTCCCCAAAGAAGGCACCTGCCCCTACTGTCCTGGGCCTACTCCTCCGGCACTGCATCCCTACGAAGTTATAACCACCCAGGCAACGGTGTATGGGATTAGCTATGTCAGAAATGTCAGTGAACATGAAATCAAGTCTACTCTTTTGCATAGATGTACCCATTACAATATCACAGTTATATCTGGTTTTAATTAAAGCATTTCCAGTGAAGAATAAAATGATTTGTTTAAATTAGCTCTATGAAGATTTAGATAACACAAATGTTTTCAATCTGTAGGTGTTTCTGTTGCTGTGAAACAGTGTCCAACGTGTGATAACATTGTGAGATTCCAAGAATATTCATCTGGATTCCACAACTTCAATAACCGGGTCTTCATAACACTTCCATTGTGTGAGCTTCTGTTGTCCGGTTTGGCGGTAAGTCATTTATAAATGCTTTGTGTAAAACATCTGGAATAAAGTGTCCTCATATCCATGTTTGTACATAAATAAATGTGCATAAATTTAAAGAGAAATTATATCATTTTAACTGTGTTTTTAATTTCAGAACAAGACAACCAGTGGACGCATGCTGGACACTTTGTCATTCTTTAATGACAACCGCTACCACCACCAAACACTGCGGAAAGCATTCCACCACTTCTTGTCACTGACAAAATTTCGGTTTGACTTCTTTTGCTTCCAGTGTGGATACCACCCAGCTATGGTAATAGCAGATGCTAATTGGAAACTGGCCTTCGATGTCCCACGTAAGATTATTTCTGGTGTCTGTAATTCAGCCTTTGTAAAATGAGAATTATTATGGACATTTCTTTAACTGATAACACTATACATATTCATGGCTGTATCAAGAATGTTCAGTGAGCAAGGAAGAAATTTTGAAATACTTAATCAATGGAAAATTTTACGTCTTGGAATTACATATTTGTTAGTAGCACTGAATCTCTGCTTATCTTTAAAAGTGTGTGTGCTTGTCATGCCTTTATAACTATAAAACTTAATTTCCAGTTGGGACCTTTAAAAGGCCAGATCCAGATACTATATCTGAGAAAGACTTGGAAGTGGACATTGTGAAGTCTTGGTCCGATCTGAACAATTCACAAATTGCAGAAGGACTCATATCAGGTTTGGACTATATTGTGACATTTATCAATAGGATCTTAAATGTAGAAAGCTGTGGTATGAACATTACACTTTTAGGCAAGGGAACACAACACAATCAAAATGTTTGAACAAATGCATTTACAATGTTGTGTGTCTAACTAATAGGAACCACTGTGGCAAACCCATTCTCCACGTCTGTTTGGCATTCCACTTTGGCACCATGGATGGGAGAGCACACCAGAGTTGGAAATGTTCTCCCCAAAACTGAGGCCAAAAAGGCAATGAAAAAGAAAAAAGATGACATCAAGCACCCCCCAAAAAACATAAATGAGGACATAATACTAGAACTCATTGAGTCAAAGAAGGTATACATTGTACAAATCTTAATACCTTCTCAGTATACTGTCAATGTGTAGATACAGCCGTCATTCTTTATAAGGTTATTAGTACTATTTTGTTTTCTTTATTGTGTAAGTGTGATGTACATGTAACATACACATATAATATGGCCTTCACATATTTTAAATTAAAAAAATGTAATAAAAAAAAAAGGTATTTTCAATTTACAGCCTCAAAAAAGGAACTCCAGGATGCTTGTTATGCCTTGGGGGTGTCCTCAGAGGGGTCCATGGCTGACATGCTAAACCGGCTCCAGGAACTATTAAATTTTAAGGATATTTACCCGAAACTTTTTGTGAAGTTACAAAAAACTGGAGGTGAGAAATTGCTTACATTATTTTTATTATATTTTTTTCAGCTGTTAACTTTTGTAATATTCTTTAGGTGGTGTCCTTCATTTTTCCTGTGTACATGGTGTTGTGTACTATCTCAACTTCCTCTTCTGGACGGAGTCAGCAAGAGACCACACGGATGGGCTTCTGAGTTTCAAGCACTTCCCAACATGCTACATCTCTGATGTAGCTGGACAAGTTGCTCGACATACGAACAACCGCACGAAACAGCTTTATTTCCAACCACATGACGGAAGACTCTGTGCAGCATCGTCAGATAATATAAAACTGGCAGCTAACAAGGAATTAGAAGTTGATTTGCAATGGGTGAAGAACTTGAGGTCACCATTTCTACTAGAGGGAATGCCGGATAGCAACAGAATGTCAGCAAGACATCCAACCACAGGGACATGTGAAAGATACTCCCTGTATGATAGGTTTCATCAGAAAAATCAAAAACGTCCAGAAGAAAAGCTGAGAAGCCTCAACATCTGCCCCACCCTAAGAAGAGAAGTGAACTCAGCAGTTGCAGAGCAGTTTAATCGCGAAATTTCGGCAGTAAGGTACTCATTGTGCCAGATGAATGAAGCACACTTCAAACAAACTGTAAGGGTGCTGATTGACCTGCATAACGAAAAGATAAATAAGACTTTTAAGGCTGAAATTGAGGGATTGTGCAATGCACAGTTGTCTATCGGCCTGCATGGGATGCTTGGACTGCACTCCTCTGGTAGGTTTTGTTTTGTATATGATACTACACAATAGTAAGAATGTAGAAATTGTGGAAAATCCAAAATAAAATTAAAAGGTAATCTACAGCTGAATGTAATCCTTTTAGTGTGGCCCAATCGGAAATGTTGTACTAAAGCATGTTTTAAAAATAAATTTTGTTCTTTGCTATTTTGTTTAGAGGGAAGGAAAAATATGCAGCCTTCAGGTGTTGGTCTTAACATCCAGCCAGACAACACTGTGACATCTTCATTTGTAGCACAATCATATGCTATCAGTGATAACGACATGGTACAGTATTTTATCAAGACTTGTGCTATTTTGTGCCTTATATCATGTTAACAATTTAATGTTTTAATAATAACTATTACACTACATTGTTTGGGTATTAAGGGAAAACTCAAGACCTTATTCACTGGATCTCGTGATGAACGTCAAGCCTTGGCTCATGCCTTGAGGCGATTTCCAGTAGCAATAAAGGACATCTACAGTGTTTGCCCCCCAGAGTTGTTGGGACTTTCTTCTTTGAACATGCCATGGATGACTGATGATGTAAGTGTAGATAAATAAAAAAAATTTTTTTTTTACATCTGAAATTAACTTATCTTTAATGACTGTGACTGTCATCAAAGTCTATTATTTTGTTTCCAAATAGGCAGCTGAAAATGAAGTGTTAAATCATGAGGTCAATATGGAGGTTCTGACTCTAAACCAATGCAGAACTCTCCGTCTGCACCATGCCACCCAAATGCTGAGAAATGTGAAAGCTGAGGTAAGACTGGTCTCTTATTGTCAAACTTTGTACTGGTAATCACAGAAATGCTGTGTTACAGCAAAGTTACTTCTTACACAGGACTTCCCACGTACCACAGAAGAAATTCTAAAAATGGAAAAAAACTAAAGTAGACTACAGGAAGCTGAGGCCAAAAAGACAGACTCCAGCATTCATTGCCTGGCATGGAAAATAAAGTCATGTTTGTTCCAGCGAGCTACGGGGACAAGCAAGTATGTACAATAAAACCAACATATGAAATTTATCGTATGTCAGTTGGACATGCATGACTAAAAGTGAAAACACATTAAGAACATTGTGAAATAGCCAAAGTTCATAGTAATTCAAAAGCAAATGTGTAACATTGGTAAAGTTGTCCTACTTGTGTTTTTTCAATAGTGTTTTCCATGACCACATAAGGAACTACCAATGGGTGCAATGCACATCATGCAAAAACTGGCTGCATTTTCAGTGTGCTGGTGTGGAGGGGGACTGGACGTCGAAGGATTTCTTTTGTGGATGCAACCTTAACCCAGATGTGTATGAATTATTTTATACATGTCAAACCTATGGCTGCCATTGCAATCAAAGCTATAATTTTTATAGTTGTGTTTTATAAAGACTAGGAATGCCATTTCCCTTGATGTGTCAAGTACAGATTTCGTATTTTAGGCAGTGTTTTTGTTAAAAACCGAAACGACATCCTGGAGTCTGTCAAAGTAGAAGACATTCTCACAGATGAAGAGATAAACATAGCATTGTATTGATGATGTTCTCTGTCTGCATGGTATAAAACAGTTTTTCCATGTTTCTTCTTTGCATATTATCCTAGACAGAAGACATAATACAGCGACTGGAACAAATCATATCTGTGCCTGGAACTGCAGCAGAGAAGCAGATTTTTCTAACCGAAGTGATTTTGCCTGAGGTGAGCTATAGAGATGTGTACTAAATTAACAATTAGAATAGGAATTTCATTTAAAGCAAAGAAATTGATAAGCAAGTGATGGCTTTGAGGCCTCTAAAGCTACGGGTGTCAATATCATTTGAAGGCCTCTAAAGCTACGGGTGTCAATATAATTCAACAATCAGAGATTATATATACCAAGTACAATAAAATGGAAGCATGACTTCACACTTCTTCTTTAATTGTTGGCTTCCAAACTGCAGTACTTCAGTATAAGTAGCAACTTAATTGAAAAGATTAAACTGAAACCTTAAATGTGGTTAAAGTTGTCTGTTTGTCACATTAAAATGAATACTGTATATTTCTTAGGTTCTGATTTATTGGTTGCAAACCAATATCAATATGTGCTGATATATGGCCGAATCTGTGCTTTTGAAGTGCACATCTTTCGAAGGAAAGAAAAGGTAGGGGATATTTTTTCATTGTGGGTGTTCATACTTACTCTTTGTATAACATCACTAAATACATTCTTCCTGTCATGACATTAGGGGATTTCCATGTCAAGCTGATGCCATTGTAATTAGGTACCGATTTTCTTTTTTTTTCCCAGTGTTGCAGAGATCAGAACAGGTGAGGACACAGAAAGCACCGAAGAGGTAAGACATTTTTAACAACAGCCCATTTTTA